TTACAAATATAAGAAGTGGAAATAAATATATTTACAATTATTAAAAGTGGTAATAAATATATTTACATTAATTACAAATGTTTGTGGCAAAGGGCTTTGTTGAAATAATCAGCTGGACCTTAGTGTGGTACTCTTGGAAACAATTCTTTTTTGATGAACAGCAAAGTGGGACGTCACACTTGGAGCACTTCATGGACGTCTTTGACCTCTTGAATGGGTTATCTTTGTATGTCACTCCTGGATGGGTTGTCTGAAACACTTGATTTTTTTTAGCACAAAGGCCAGTGGTTGTTGCAGTCCAGGCGCTGTTCCTCGTTGTCACCATGTCGCTGTCGTGAAGTGTTCCTGTTGGTGATATTGCCGATGAGCTGATGGGCCAGGTCAAGTTTGAAGGACAGGAGATCTCTTGCGGCTTCCCTGGGGGTTGTGGTCGATGATCGTACCTTCAATGAGATATGCATTATAAATGGCAATCTCTCTTAGCTTGATCTCAACACGCCTGTACCATTTCATAGATTTTTTACTTTTGTTCACACGCGTGTTCTGATCAAGCTTCTCTACACCCCCCATGTACTTCCCATACTCTACCACCGCTGGTGTTACTGCAAGTTCATCCCGAGTTCCATCCTTCTTCCTCCTCTTGGTCGTCAGTCCTTCTTCCGGCCTGTTGTCCTTCCACATCGTCGCGACGAAGTCTCCATGGGCAACCTAGTCGATGGATCCACGGTCGAGGCGAGTAGTATCTCTTCCTGTTGGTAGCTGTGTCGTCGGGTAGCCTTTCCTGTTGGTCCGAACATGGCCGCACAGGTACGTCTCCTTCAACAAAAGATAATCAGCAAGTGTAGGACTTGTGTTGAAATTATCTGTAAAGATGATGTGACCTTTGCCAAGAATTTCCTTACAAAGGGTAACAACAACCTGTCCTGAAAGCCCAAGCTGTCGATCGACTACTGTTCCATACTTCCCTGCATAAACTTCAAAGTTGGAACAGTAGCCGGTGACAGCATCGGCCAGGACCCACACCTTCACACCAAACTTTACCGGCATATCTCGCATGTACTGTTTGATACTAAGCCTGCCCTTGAAGGGAATCATCGCCTCGTCCACTGACACTTGCTGATGGAGACTGTAGTGTTCCTGAAAAGAAGACCTGAGATGATCAAGTATGTAGCGTACCTTGTGCAGTTTGTCATTAGCATAAGGATTGTCAGTGCTGAAATGCAAGTATCTTTACCTGAGTGAATCTCTCTCTGGACATAATGTCAGGGACTGGAAATTTCAACAAAGGATATTTAATGCCAGAATGCAAATACATTTCATCCCTGTCAAGTTTCATGATATCCATGTACAGCAAAATGCCATAAAAAGCCTTGATTTCATCAAGAGATACGTCATACCACTCACCTTTGTTGTTGTTGGGATCGTTCATTCTCTTGTAGACTGCATTGTCATTCGTTGCCCTGATAATCTTTTCAAACACAGAATCATCGAAATACAGTTGAAAAAAATCAGTAGCACAACTAACTATCTCCACTCACCGTGTCAATATTCTTTGGCCCTGTCTCCTCTGCAAAATCCCTCATGTCTCCACCATTGTAGTCCCTCTGCCACTGCCATTCTTGAAAGTTCGGAGGGGAGTACACCTCATCAAAACCATCAAAATCTAAAACAGAACTTCAGTGCAATACATAATCCTTCTACACTTATTATTGAAGTCTTGTTTGGGGATACTCCAGAAGATGCCTTCGAGATATTACCAGGTCTATCAATTAAATGGCTAAAGCAACACTAGTGTCGACGTTGTAGTATTATTTATGTAGGAGCATCACCTGTTGCAACCCTTGAGGGGGTCCAAGTTAACTCTTTCATCACTGGCTGCCCCAGAGTTATGTCCCTTGAGACTCTGCAGTCCCTGACACTGACAAGGCCTGTACACTGGCCTCCCTGGCAGTATTATTGGAAAATAACCCTATCATTTTTGATGCACTTTTTCTACCAGAAACTTGCTTTTAATATACATTTATCATATACCATTGTAAAGAGGATTAAGTATACTTTAATATTCTTTGTTGTTATTGTCTCTAACCTTTGTTATTTTCTAATTACAGGTGTTTACAAGTGAAATAAAACTTGAAAACACTGAAAAAATGAAAACAGACAATGAATTTTGGCTCAAATTGTATTACAAATCACAAAAATAAATCACAGATACAAGGTAAACATAACACAGTGGTCTTGTCATCTTGGACGGCACAGGTAATCCCAGGTGTTACAGGTAAATTCTCTTCATGCACATCTGTAAACAAATAAACAAGTTTACAACTCTTGGTACTGACTTTGTTTTCTATACTGATGTCACATATTACTTATGATACACTTACAGCCTCTTAGGTAAACTCGTTAACACAGGTAAAAACACAAATATTTGATTTATTTTGTTCTTTTTCAGGATTTGAAACAAAAATTAAGTATTTAAGTTTTTAAAAAGTTATTTATCACATTATCTGAACATTGAACCACAGCTACTATAAGAATGACATCACAGGGAAGATAACACAGATTGATCTGAAGAGGGAAAGATTGTAAAAGGACGGATAGATCGTAAATTCAAGTTCTGCAAATATACAAGTTGTGATAACATATTTACAATACACTGCTATTTACAATTGCATAATAAATTAAATCAGTACTTTATTAAATCAATTAATAAATAAATAATCATTACAGTTACTAAAATTTAAATTAAGATGTAAAAAACAAGAAAACAAACATGAATATGGAAATAAATTTTATTCAAATTGAGCGAAATATAAGGACATACGCCAAACCGGCAAACTACAATTCGGATTGCGATCAGAAAAATAAATTTAAAAAAAAAGAAACAGATACGTCATGCCACTCACCTTTGTTGTTGTGATCGCTTGTTCACGTGTCGGTGGCTGGATTCTCATTCGTCGCACTGATAATCTGTTCAAACACAGAATCATTGTAAAACAGTTGGAAAAAATCAATAGCACGACTCTTCACTCACCGTGTCAATATATATGCTTGAGTCCGGTCGCCTCTTTAAAATCCCTCATGTCTCCACTATTGTGGTCACTCTGCCACTCCCATTCTTGGAAGTTGGAAACCGTCAAAATCTTCACCAAAATATTCGCGAAATTCCCTCTCCCCTTCGCGTAAATTATTCAATTCAAACACATTATTATTCCCGATAGAGTCGTTGTTAATCATCTGATCGCTATCCGAATCGTAGTTGGCCGCCATTACGCTTGATTTACGATTCAAGCGAGAAAAATACCTGTCGCGAAAACAGGTGACATACCCGCGATTTTTGCGCCAAAATAGAATGACGTGTCATTACGTGTAGATCTCGTTTCCATATTTAGAACGAGATTACACACGAGAAAGGAAGTAGAAAGAGCGATTTTGTAAACACGCTCGCGCCGCCCGATTTATTGGGCAGCCGGGTTCTGGGCCACGGCTTACGCTGCCCGATTTTTCGGGCAGCCGGGTTCTGGGACACGGTTTATCCTGCCCGATAAATCGGGCAGTCGGGGCGAAAGGGTTGATAAAAGTGACAGCATTTCTCTTAAAAAGATATTTATGCCGTATAATAGACATTTAATAAGGTTGATGTTTACTCTCAAAACATTTAAGCAAGATCAATTAAAGAATTAATGAATTAATGAAGCCGGAGATTCGATCCAATTCTCGTAAGACCAGTGGTATAAGCGAAGACGAGAAAAAAAAGTTCATAGGACAACAAGCGAGTCAATTATTCCGTGCTAAAACCAAAGAACTGGTTGGAGATTAAAAATAGATTGTTTACTATCGTTGGATCACATTTAAACGAATGCTTACATTAATAAAAATGTTGAAGGCTATAGTAAATTTTATCCATTATTAATCAATATTGATGATTCTTTTAATACGAATCATGGCGATCGTTGAATCACTTCATCATTTTGACATAAAAAATTCCCTCTGTAGTAGCAGTATAGGTATATAAATCTGGCTCTGGTGGAAGTAGTCCAGAACCCCCATCATCTATACTACTTATGGAGACTTAATAATGTAATGCCATGTATGCAATACTTTGGCATGTGTTTTGTGAAGATTGAAAGTCAAGGTCACTCTGTGTGCACACCAGCTTGAGTATGTATGATTGGAATTTGATAAAGTGTAGCACAAACAGTCTCTTGGTCAAAGAAGTGGTGCACAGGTGGCCCAGTCATCTAAGGCGCCACGATTCGTAGTTGCCTCCCTTGGGGACGCCATAAAAGTATGATCATGGGTTTGAATCCTGGTTTGCATTAAATTTATTCTGCTAATGTTTTTGTTCCAAATGGTAATCGTTGTTAGACCTGACTCACCTTGGACTTTCCTCCCACATCAAGCTCACACTCCATGATACAACTGAATACTAGCCAAGACTCACTCACTCACTCACTCACTCACTCACTCACTAACTCAGTAATTAGCACTGATAGGTGTAAGAATGGACATAGCAACAGGCAAATTGAAGCCAGCTAGGCAATTTGCCCCGATTTGTTCATCATAATAAAGAAGTTGACATCCATATTTTCTCTTCCTTATGTGAATCACTTCTAAATGCTTTTCAAAGACCTGAACAAATTATTTGTCTTTTTTTTTAAGGACTAGAAAACTACTTGATAGTATGATTAGTATGTCATTGTTTTCGGGCATGTTTATGAGGTGTCCATTTGGTAAAGACAACAATGGACCAAAAGACAAAAGAAACCAAATCAATGGATCATACTGACCACCTTGTTTTTCTAGTTGGCTCTTGTAAAAGCAACACACAATTGTCACTATTGTGAAAACAATAACAGACATATTCACAAATGGTAGTTATTTGTATATTAACAGTGTATTCAGCTGCTACATTTCGGACATGCCACCTCATTATTGGCCATAATTGATAACTCAGTGTATTTTCTTGGTTGCATGTTTCAACCAGGTTCTAATTGTTTCAGGCTCTGATGGCAGGACGCGAAGTTTCATTGGAAGACGAGTGTTCTGATTGTCGGTTGCAGCCCATTGTCACCAGCAAGGAACCTGTCATGCCCATTTTCTCCCCTCCACCTGTCCCAATAGACACATCACCACAGACAACATGTACCCTGAAGGACACCTTCTGGAAGGACTTGGAAGAGGGACGGATCAATCTGTTTAATACTGACATGTACTCAAAGGTGAAGGGCCAAGGCCGAGCTTCAAGACCTAAATCGTTCAAGACTCACGGAGAGAGGGGAGAAGAGAAAAGGGAGATGCTTGAAGGAGATGGGACAGAAGGGAGCAGGAAACAGAGTCATGGCAAAACAAAAAAGGGCAAACAACACAAATCAGGCAAGGATGGATCTAAATCAATTGGTGGTAAGACTAGCACATGTCAAGGCCAGTTAAAGGTGACAGAGACCTGTGGGACTGATGGAGTTGAGAGGACATCATCTTGCACAACTGACCTCAGTGAAACCAGTAGTGACAGTTCTGATGTTATCATGGCCCATGTCATTTCTGTCTCCACACCATCGCCACCTGTTTTGAGCTGTGTGGAAGACTACAGTGATGACAGCAGTAGGGACTTCAGTGACCACAGATACAGTTCTCCAGCCGACATTACTGGATCTCTCTCACAGTCTCCGAACTGTTCCCAGGAAGCAAAATTCCAGTCGATATCTACTGACTTTTCCCAGGAAGCAGTTTCAGAGGATACAGGCATCTGCATGGATAGTAGTGACCTCCTGAGCCCACAACGTGAGATAAAGGATATCAAGTTAGTCGTGGTGAGTGCTGTTCCAGATCTGTGCATATATACAAGCAAATAGAGTCAATATATCTCTTTTTCATTTTACCTGACCCAAAGATGGTTAACACATGCAGTTCTCATTTCATTCATGGCATGTTATCTTGGTCAAAACACAAGGCTGGTGGTGGCAGGCTTGGCAAAATCAGAACACAGTTAACAGTATTAATGTAAAGAGTTTTTCTTATCTCACATTTTCAAACATTTTCTATTCAAAGTAAATTAAATCAAATTTAGCTTTTAGCTTCAAGTGCCTCAGTGTCTCAATTTCTACTTTCTCAGCCATATAAATGTGATAAATCAATTCTGTTGTCAACTATATAAGCAAACCCATATAGCATGCAGAGTGATGCATTAGGCATGTTAAGATTTTGTCAGAATTTGGCAACCACCGCCACCACATGCACTGTACAGTGCACAGATTTCATAAAAAGTATATATCCTTTATAGCCATGTGGAATATTGTTGAGACCTTGTTCCGTCATTTCAAGGATCAGAATTATCTTCAAGGTCATAGCTTGAAAAATAATTTGTTATCCGTCCATCTCAGGAAGCGTTTATGGTAGGTCAATTAAACTTGGTATATGTCATTGTGTGTAATAGTAGGGCAGGGCAACCATTTATGGTTGTGAGTGACTATGTTTAAGTTAATACAAGTCTTGTTCACAGTGGAGGTTACACTTAACATGTTTAAAGTATGGGTGCCATTTCAATTATTATTTCCACTAATATGTCTTATGCATGTAGTAGTTATGTAATTGATTAACACTAACTGTGACCTACTTTCAAAGAGTATTACATGGTTGGGATACCAGGTAAGAATAGGTCCCCAGAACCTATGCTGGTTATTAGAGGTGACCATTGGATCGGAAGGTCAGGTTCTGGGATTGCATGTCATCATACCCTGACGGCATGGATCGTTGTCTCACAATATTGATCACTGAATTGTCTGAATTATTTTCAGTCTACCATACTGAGTGCAGTGTTAAACAACAAACAAACAATGAGTTGCAATTGCTAAAACAAATTGTTACACTGAATTCCACTAAGGGGTCAGTCACACATTCAGGATTTATACTGCCGTCCTTGATAGGACAATTCCCGATTAAAATTTGTCAATACTCTGATCAAAATCCTGTGATTCACAAATTTGTAAAAACATGTATTAAATTACGACAACAATCAGATATTGTTCAGGAAGTTTCCCGATTCAGACGTTTCCAGACGAATTCGTCAATCTCAATCATTCACAATCCAAATTTGATCCGATTTGTATCTTCGACTTGGTAAAAAATGACGGAATCTGTCCAGACAGCGTCCTGATTCTCCCGAATGTGATCTGACAGAGATCAGACAGTGACCGGACAGTGAACCAACAAACACGCTTCGCATTCGGCAAGATCTGGACGCAATCTGGACACAATTGACAAGAAACGTCAATGAACAATTTTTCCAAATCATGCCTGTTCATCACGATAGCACCCGATGCACAGACCACCGTCCAGACAACACGGGACATTGTTACGATTTTGATCCGATACAGCAGAATCTGTCATGACATAGTCACGATTATAATCCGACTAGACAAAATCGGCTGAGTTTCCCAAATGTTATGGGATGCGCCATACTGTCAGGAGTGCTTGGCTGACCTCAATGGACCTTTCCCAATCCATAGGACTCTGTTACGAATGTATGTGACTGCGTTCAGACAATGATAGGACGTTCCAGATCATTGAGGATAGTAATCCGACTTTTTCACTTTTCGTGTTGTAGCCCTGTCTGATCTCAAATGGGAGTCATAATCGGCACTGTGTGAACACATCCTTAGGAACATAATATTTGGCCTTTACAATGCTTTATGCTGTATAGCCTTTTGGAAGGTGCTTGAAATCCTTGCTACTGATATGATTATTGAAGATCAAATTCACTCTCAAGGTCATATATTATGTTCACAATAATTAAGTAAATGTTCTCTCCAGATATCACTCTCCTTCTTAGGGGCGGTGGGGTAGCTCAGTGGTTAAAGTTTTCGCTTGTCACATAGAGGGCCCAGGTTGGATTTCCCACATGTGTACAATGTGTGAAGCCCATAATTCTTTCAAATACCTTACCTCTGTTACATCATGGCCTATATTTTTGTAATTTGGTTAACATCACACTAAAAAAATCTTTAGATTTTAAAGAGACATCCTCTTCATTGTCAGTCATCCCAATCAGTTGTTAGGAATACCGTATATCATGCCAAATGTCACATGAGCATGTCCTGAGAAGGGAAATCATCACTTCTTTCTTTTGAGTGTGTGTTTTGGTGTGTGGGTGTGGGCACGCTCACTAAGCCTGACTCCTGAAACATTTTCAGTGTATTTTAGCACATGTCTTTGAGTTCAAAATCAGTGCTAATGTATGTTAGGCAATCAACTTGTATATGTCGTATTTATCTTGCGTATCAATTTAAGTAGGTGGTATTTCAAACATATTTTTGGGTGCATTGACTCCCCCTCACTGTCTCCCTGGGATGTAGCCATGTAGTTGTCGTAGGAGACCCTCATCTCCAGGGTCTTCTCTGTGAAACAGAGCTCTACACACTCTCATTGAGATGCTCAACTTGGGACGCTGTCTCCGATTCATGCTTTACACTGGACAAAATATCATCCATTCTAAACAATCCAAAACTTGGAAATACCACCATTCCAAATGGAAATATGACCTTTCCAAAATTTGTCAAGGTCATATTTCCAAGCTTGGATTTGTTTGGATATGTTTGGATACAACATGTCATAATCATATCTGTTAAACGTTGTACAACTTTTGACCTTATGTGAGATTAGTAATGACATGAAAGTAAATAATGAAGAGTATTTTGGCACTATTTACCACGAAAAGACCAAATCATGAGCAAATTTAACTAAAAGAATTTCTGTCATTTAAAGTGGCTACTCTTTATATTTAATTTCTTATCTTCCTTGTCTATAATCATATGACATTGACTATGAACTTTGAACAATTAAACAAATATTTTGTTTTCCCATACCAACTTACGGTTGTCGTAGAACAAAGACCATTTCGAGAATAGAGGGCCTCATTATTATAATTTGAACTAATATACATATGTACATAATAGTACTAGGTATAAATGAATTTTGATAAGTGTTCGTACAAGAATATGAACTTCGAATTATCTCGGAATTATGCGCAACACATAGGGCTGGAAATTTTATAATTGGTCTGGAACTATCTGACGGTAATTCAAAACAGGGAACAAGATTTCGTCAATTGAATCATTGAGCCAGGAATGCAACAATTTAAATGCTGACAAAATGAATAAACATATCTGGAACAGAGTAGACTGTTCATGCGGACAATTATATGCTACGTCTATTGCCAATAAAGTTTATCACCCCATGTTATAGCATTTGTTTCATATAAAAGATAGAAGCCAAATAAATGGGACAATTAGTTGTTATGAATTAGCTTTACCTCTGTGACATATTACGCAACTAAATGTGAATATGTTTATCAAATAATCAATTACAGTAATTATCCTAGTGTCCTTATTTATACACAATTTAATTACGTATTGGGGTACAATATATAATACACATATACTCGGAATGATTTCTTATTTTGTCAATTTAATCATAACCCAAATCATACAAATCGAACATGTGAAAAAAAAAGTAGTGACTAACTTTATGAACAAGGGTATAAATACTCAATTGTATCTTTAAATCCTAATAGTATAACAATAAATCCTGTGTATTTACTGAGCATATTTAGATACATCCGGATCTACGACCGCAGTCATATAATCAATCAAGGAAAGTATATTAGTAGTAGAGTGTGTTTATTACGGTAAAGGGGCCACCAGCCCATTATACATGAAACTTGACATAATAAGCGCTGAAGCGCCATATAATATGATGACAGTTTCTGTTTATGCAAATATTAAATGATGGACATCCATATTATGCAAAAGATTTACTACGTTTCTTTAAAGCTAAAAAGATAAATTTAGCCAAATTATTTATGACCGTGATTTTCCGTGATGTGAATAATAAAATAAGCTTATTGTTCGATGGGAATTTAAAATAAAATTCTAGAATAAGACTTTCTCTTAAGTCCTGATAAAATGGACATTCAAGACAAAAATGTAGTTCTGATTCAATATTAGGTATTACACTAAAGGGAGAAAGGCGATTCTTACGGCCAAGTTTGAGACGTCGACCGTACTCAATCATTAGGTCGTGGTTGGAACAGCGGAACTTGCATAACGCTATGCAATAAGCTTTTACATTAATTACATTAAAATAATTTCTTCGCTTAACTGCACCTCAATTTGTCTGTACATTTCAAGTTTAGAATATTTACCAAGGTCTGATAGCCAATTTTGAACGTCTATGTCAATACATCTTTGTTTAAACACGACTAGAAATTGTTGGACATTGACAACACGCTGCTCCATCCATACCTGTCCAAAACCATAAGTGAACAATAGGTTTTTTACTTTTAGTGCCCAGCAATCTATATTTTTCTCTGCTAAACTATACTGATATCTATAAACATTGTACAATATTATATTTTCCCTTTGACCTATGCACCTCATCCAATATTTAACTATCTTAATGTGTTTATTGACATTCAAAGAGTACCTGCCAAGCTCACCACGAGCTACAATGTTCGGATTCGAGACAGAAAGTCTGAGTATTTGTTAACAAAACTTATCCTGAACATGAAGAATATTAGGCGAAGAGTGAAAACCCCAAACTTCGGCTCCATATAGCAAAACAGGTACAATTTTTACATCAAAAATATGCAATAAGACCTTAAGTGGTAAACTATAAAAATCCTTAATTGATGATCTAGCTAATGATAACACTTTCCATGCCTGTTCAGCTAATATTTTCTGTGTAATATACCAACTGCCAGAACTCAAAAAATGAACGCCCAAGTATTTATACGATTTAACATTTTCTAGGTTTT